CCTTTCTGTCATCATATTCCCAGTAAAAAACATTCAGAATAAATGATGTGGTTGTGGTGCTTTAGCACAAACAAAGCAGCGTGTGTGGTCCCTGCAGCCTGGCTGCCAGGGCATGAAGAAGGCTGAAGTTCTCAGGGAAATTAATCCATCTTTTGACATTTTTCCTCTCTCAATAAAACCTATTTAGGGAGATGACCGTATGAAGCTCCCAAGCCCAAATGACAGCAAGTTCTTTCAAAACCTTCTCGATGAGGAAGACCTGGAAGATATGATGGATGCTGAAGAGTATCTTGTTCCTCAAGCCTTTAACATCCCTCCTCCCATCTACACCTCCAGGACAAGAATTGATTCCAACAGGGTAAGAGCAAACTCTGACAGAAAATCCTGGTTATTATAAAAGCACAGGTGGAGATTTAAGTACACCAATCAGGCACAGGCCAGAGCTGCCTTGGGAATTAAAAGCTCCCCTTGTAAGGAGAGTGGTTATAAAAATGTTGTCAGTGGATTCCCTGTTCATTGTGCCTCAGTGAATTCTAAATTAATAGCTCAGCCTTGAGTGAAAAAAGGCTCAACTTGAGCTGCCTGTCCTGAAAGCACAGCTGAGGCTTGTGAAGTCAAGCAGTGTTGTTTCTCCACTGTGAACTGTCCTGGCCAGGAAGTGCTCAGCCTTGATGCTCCCATCCCTGCAATCGTCTTGCCTTGACAGGGCTGGCACTGATGTAACTGAGGGCAGCTGGAATATATAGATAATGCTGCTTTTGTGTCTGGAGCCAGATTTCAGACCCAGCCTCTTTTCCTGTTTGTATGTGACGCTTTCAAGGCTGTCCTTCATGAGCGTGTGTTTCTGCTGAGCACATCACAGGTACTAGCACATCCATCTCTGTAATGTCCCTGTCAGGGGAGGAAATGTTCATTTTTGCAAGGGGAGCTGAGGCACAGAGAGTATTCAGGTGGAATTCAGCTCACATAACTCTTAACCATCAAAAGGCTCTTAACCATCAAAACGATAGGGATATAATCTAAGCTCTTCATCTAGACTTCATTTTATGCAATTAGAGTAGCATGGGTACACCCAATGGGTGGTTATTGCTGCCTGCCTTGGACATTTACAGCAGGATATGTTCTGGAGGTGTCTTTCTCTATCCACTGACTGCTGGCAGCTGCAGAGCAGTCTCAGAGCTGGTGTGTGAGCTGTGGTGAGTTGGATCCTGTACTACATGCCTCTGCCTCAGTGCTACGGGGCCCTGCTACAGGTGGGCAGCCGAGTTCAGGTTTCTGGAATTTGTTTTCACTCCTCAATAGCCTGCCCACAGCTCTGACCTCTGCCTGTTCCTGCACTTGGCTCCATCCTTCTAACAGTTTAGGTGCCAACCTTTCTCACAAAACTAAGAGATGTCGTTACTAGTGTGAGGGCATTCGCAGCAGATGTATTTAGTAATTAGGGACTTGTTTGGTTTCTCACCATGCTCCTTTTAGTGGAAAGTCACAGTTGAAATACTAAGTGTAGTCTCATTGAAATATTGGTGTTTATTCCTCATGGTTTAGAGACCTTTTGGATCCTTAGCTGAGGTAGTGCCAAATTCACACCCTGGTGTGAACAGATTTCATCATGTGAGACAGGGAAGAGCTAACTAAAGGAGCCAAGAGTGTGTAAACTGAGTTGGTGCTCAACTCTGATCATACACTGCTTGAACTTTCTTAGCCTCTCCTGAGAAAATCAATGCTTTTCTGGAATAAGGGAGACAAAATCTGATCTTAAATAATAGTCACTCCTTAAGGAAATTGCTACTGTTTTGAAGGCAAGGAGACTAGAGAGGTCTTCAGAAGAGGCTGGGTTGTAGTCCCCCCAGCTAAGCTGGATTCACATAGCATTCTGCTGCATCACTGGAAGGCAGTGAAGGGGGGGTGATGTGTGACTTGGCAATAAGCAAGAAAGTTTTTATGGCAACAGGAGCTAATTTTAAGAGTTGATGTTGATCTGAAATAAGTCAGTTTTACTCCCAGCTGTCTCTGAAGAGGTTCTGTTTCCTTTGCTGCTAGCTTCTGAGAAAAGAAGTAAATTACAACAGTTACCTTTCAAAGGTACTCACTGTCACCCTGATGTAAACCACTATAGCTTAGCTTGACATGGTGAGCACTGCCATTTACACCAACATAGGGTGAGAGAGCAGAGTCTGACCTATAATGTTAGTTATATTCATCTCACTCCCACACTTCCTGAAAACACTGATGCATATTCAAAGGAGAAAGGATTAGTAGGAAAATGTATTTGCCTTTTCAGCAGTTCCTTTTGCCCTCTGTCTTTGGTACCAGCTGAGCAGAGGAGTCCACTGGAGTTGAGGGAATTAATTCCAACAAAAATTCTAGAGTAAATAATCTGAAAGATTTATTGCAAATGTGTTGTTTGGGCAGCCAACATGCTCAGTGGGATATTCATGGAAAGCAAACACGGGTGTTTATCATGATTATGATTATTATTATTGTTGTTATTACATGAAAATTGAAGTAACATTCTCACAGCCTTTTCCCAACGTTAAACCACACTGCGGCATCCGCTTACAAACATGATCCCTTGAAGTCAGCAGAGCTGCAGGAAGAGACCCTGGGCCTTATTTTCACCACACAAAGAGGCTCCCTCACATCCTTGATGTGACATCTCCTCTCTAGAGCTCACAACTTCCCATGTTGGTTTGAGATGTGATCTTGTATCACTAAAGTCAGAGGGAGCTTTGCTTTGCAATTCAATTTAATGACAGTAGCAAGACTGTACCTTCCTTTCAGTAACTCCTACTGCTGGGAATTTTTGTCTGGCATCATACGACAGCCTTAACACTTAAACAAATCTGGAATTACCCTTTGCCAGAATTTTTCAGTTTGTGAGCCAAACTGTCTGAGCTCTCAGAGGGGTTAGCTGGGGGAAAGATAGCTTGCACCCAGCTCTGTATTTTTGCACCCCTTCAGTCTTTATAGTGTTTTTCTTTATTGTAGGAGCCTCTTCATAGAGGGCTCATTTTTAAGGCCCAAAGAAGATAAACCAGCTGATTTATAGTAGCACTTGCTCCTATCACTGGTGACCAACTCCTGTTGCTGACAGGATTGCCAGCAGATTTTTGATGCTTGTCCAGTGTCTCAGATGAGCTTTGGTGTCAGCTCTGTTCATTAACAATTCTACATCCCCTAAACATAGTGCTAGTCCTGACATACAGTTGGGTACACCTGGATTGCAGGAAAGCCACAGCACCATGTTGCTGAAGGATCTTGAGTCCAAGCTGAAAGCCCTGTAGCATCATAGCACTCTGCTTTCCTTTGCACAGAGATTTTTTCTGGAGGTAGTACATTTGTTTCCTCTCTTTGCAGAAAGCTACATGCTTGTCTCTTGTTTTTGTGAAGCACTCAGGTTCTTGGTACATTAGCTGTTCTTTCAGTGAAGATTCATGTTGATTTAAACAAAACACACATTAGCTCCTTTAAGGTAACAGTGCATCTGCTGCGCATAGTTCAGTACAGATGGATGTCAGCTACAGGAATCACATGGAATTGAAATGTTGTCAGAGCTCTCTATCTGCAGTTGTCTGATTCTGTCTTGGTGTTTCCTTTGGATAGTTTGTGATTTATGCTCATATAGTGTAGAGCATATTAATATTGCACAAACTCATTATGGTGCTGCTGCAGCCATAGACACCAAACAAATTGATACAGCTTAGGTAGTTTGTGTTCACTGTGTCTGGCAAATTAAATTTTATGGTGAGGTTGTGAGGCAATTTGGTGAAGGAAAATGCACAGACAAGAACTACATGGTCTTTGTGTAATTTTCAGAGATCAGAAGCATGAAAGACACTGTATTTCCCATCTTAGTTGTTCCAATGGCAGTTTTACTGGAGAAGGAGTCAGTAATATGATAGCAGAGCATTGTGCTCCTTCTCTGGGTGCATTGTGCTGACAGCTTTAGTTCAGTGCTTCAGCTGTAGAACTCCATGGGGGACAGAGGTCTGCAGGAAGAAAGCAGGGAGATCATGAGTCTTCTCACACTTTGGCTTTGAAGTCAGGGAATGAAGGAAGAGCAGGAGCATTTACTTTTTCAGGGAAGCTCTGAAGTTTCTCTAGGATGCTCCCAGACCTAAATCCTTGCAGCTCATTGCCTGGGAGAGGCACCACTGGATGAGGTTTGCATACAACACGGTCTGCCTTCTGCTTCCCAAGTGAAGAAGAAAGCTATATTTGGATGTGAATTAATAGCATAGAGCTGCAGGCCATGGAAAGAAACCTAGAAAGAGGGAAGCCTTTCAGGGAGTTTCCAGCTCCCCGGGAAGTGTCATCCTTTTTCCTCCAGGGATTACGGAGATTTATGAAGCTGCAAGGCTCAGACACAGCTTCAGCATTTCCATCACACTCTCACTGGCTTCTTGCTAGCTGGTCCTTGGGCCTTGTGCTGCCAGGAGCAGAAGCCTGCACACGCTTTGGCCCGTAACAGTGTTATGAAGTCCAGCCAAAGACTGATGCAGCTTTTAAATAAAAATTAGCATCCTAAGCTAAATTGAATTCTTTCATTGGAACTGAAACTCTTCAGTTGCAATTTTGGCTCTTTGGCTTTTTCCAGTTTTTATTTTCCACTGTCTAGAGATACTCTAGAAATATGAAGTTTCAGAAGCTCTGTGCTTCTGAGAGATAAGCTGAATCCTCAGCAGTGTTTCCATGAGCACAGGACCCCAGCTAGCGCTTGAGTGTCCTACATTCACATCCATTAGATGATTCATTCAGGTATTTGTAATGAGCACTGTCCTGTGTGTGCAGAGATAATACTAATACAGAAAGCACTCTGTGTACCCCATGATGCTTTTTGCTCTAAATCCTTGGCTAATTCCTGATGAAAACTGTCTTGCCGATACTGTCCCTGTAATTTTATTCCATATGCTGTATATCATGGAAGCACCTGCCAACCCTGCAATTAAATATCAAGCTGGTTTTTTCAGAAGTGTCTAATCCATATGTCCAGGGAGACTATCCTGCTTGGCTAAAGCAGGCTGTGAAAGTCAGTTTGCAGTTCTCTGAGCAGTATCTGGTATGCCATTGCAGCAATCCTGGTGCAGCCTTAGGTCTGGTAGTGTTGTATTGCTGAACATCTGGATCTGTCTGTGTATGAAAAGATTATCCAGAGAGAAACCAGGCAAGAAGCTGTCTTTATGATTAATTTGTTCTGGTTTCTAAGTTTGAAAGGTAACCATTTTCAAATCACGAGGTAACAAAGAAGATGGTTGTTAGTGATTTTCAGATGTGTTTCACATCACCGTGGTGTATGGCAACTTTCCTTCCACAGCTTATCATGGACAATAGGGACTGTTCACACAGCGGGATCACTAC